TAATTAAAAATAGCGATATAGACAATCTAATAGATGTAGTTTGAATTGTAGAGGCAATGAAATTGGGTATGACTTCAGATGCGGCAACTTCCTATAAATCGAAAAGTAGTAAAAGGCTCTTACAAAGGACCACTGCGTGGCATGCAAATATTCTAGTTCCCAAACATGAGAATATCCTAAGAAATATACTAACTTGCTCTGGGAGGGGAACTTAATTTCATATTGATGAGCTATTTTCCCTGCAAGACCTACTTTTGTTTTTAAAGCTTTTGCGTATTTCACATCGCTTCTGCCAACCTGAAAGATAACRTATCTCCAAGGAGTCAGTGTCTGTTAAGTTAAACAGCACATTCGCAAAACATTAAATTGCCGATAAAACGAAAACACATTCGTACAAATTCTAACGGTACATATTTACACACACAAACGACTTAGAGTACATTCCCTTATGTRTGTATGTAGGTATGTATTTGCAAAAGACGATTTCATTGTATATAATTTCAATTTGTGGCGTTGTGCTTCGTTATGCCGAGGCAATTCCCACAACAATGTGCACGAACAGGTGTGATAATCTGCTTTATGTTGCTGTTGCGTAGATAAGCGAAAATTAAAATATTATTATGTGCACTGTGTCCTTTTCAATCCAATATCGAACGCAAAATCTTTCATTACAAAATGAAGATGGCTATCGATGACAAAGCATTTGTGCTAAATAATACGCATATTAACAGAGTCTGAAATGCAACAGTAATGAAATGAGAAAATTTATTTTAAATTTATGGTTAGATTTTTGATAACGAGCAGTCGATTTAAGCGAGCAGTCACTTAGATTATACAGCAGTTGGAAGTTCTGTAAACAGCTACCTAGAATGAGAGGCGTATGATTACAGGTAATGAATGAATAGACCGATTACGCTGTTTTAATCACAATTAGAGGTTTTCGGTATATTATTAATATTTATCCGTTCAGAGATACCCACAAGCACATATTTGTGCTAATAACTCAATCTAAGCCACAACCTAGAGTTCTAGACACATGATTGTTAATTTTCTACATTTTGCGTAGAACATTCAAAATCACTGTTATGCATTGATTTGCATTTTCGGTAATACATAAATATATATAATAGTCATGCTTTGTCATCAGTCGTAATATGACCTTTGATACTTGGACATACATATTCGTACATCGCACCTAATTAATGGCACCTACGACAACAACATTTGCAACACACATACATGTACATATGTACAGAATGCATATAGTACACATATCGACACATACTATACCTTCAAAATTGTTCATAATAAACATTTCACACATATTCTGCTCCGCTGTCTTTCTATATTTACCCATCAGGTTGCCTAATATTGATCCATTTACTTAAAGGTTTGGATATGAACCCTGCAGGGAAATGTAGTAATTACAATCTAGTTTAATTATTTCTGTTACYCTTATTCTAAATATCAGTCATCATGTTTTGCCTTTATTGCAGATATAGAAAATCGCTTTCCAAAACTCAAATCTCAACTTTATGGGGTTTGGCGTTAAATTATAGGAAGGAGACTTGAACAGTAGGTGTGTCTTTTAACTTATTTCAGAATTTCTTACAAGGTGTGTGTGCGGACATTATGTAGTTATGTTTTGGATTTATCTGTATTCCTATATCATAATCGTAGCCTATAATAACGAAGATAATATTTCCCAAGTCGAAACATAAATAGGAAAGTAAATAAATTAATCTATTGGGCTTTGTTATTTATAATGGAAGGGTAATGAAGTTTCAGTTCAGCAATGAAACTCAAATAAATAAAAATCATGAGCAGTGAGGCGAGGCAGTAAAGAAGGAAAGTTGGTAAGTAATATTGGAGAAAATAATAGGGAATTATGAATTAATGTATATACATATGTACCTATGGCAAACCCATACTTATGTACAAACATATATGTATATGGGTAGAACTAAATRAAAATTCGGTTTCTTGCCTTCAATACCGATACATCTAAAATGGTTTATGAACATTGCTAATGGCTCGCTTGGACTTGTACTGTACTAYACGTACAAACATGTATGTGTATGTGTTAGTGATGAACGTGCGTACGTTCGCTGCTAACACTCTGATTTATGGGCATACGTAATGCGTTCAATAAACAAAGTGAAGCAAAATACGCACATCGATATCAACTCAGGCAGTTCGAACAATCCTTGAACACACTCTACTTATGATAAGTTTGTGTACTTTGATAAGCGATACAAGCTGAAATGCATTTGCAAATAGCGGTAGCTCGAAAAGTTTTGCAAAAAAGTTTGTAAATTGGAAATAAAGCATTCTGTACAGATCAAAGTTTCTCCTAGGTGAATACAGGGTCCGGCACTCGAAGTGTAACCAATTAAAATAAACATAAATTCGGTTTGGAAAAATTTTTTTTATTTATTTTAATGTACAAAATGTGTGAAAATAATYMTAWWTTCAGRACCAATTCACKTTTGCTCGATAAGACCACCTTTTGCCTTGACTGTGGCTTTGAGACCGTTAAAAACGTATCACAAGCTGCCCGAATGTGACTTGCCGGTATTTTGGACCACCCGCGGACAATGGCTTTCTTCAGCATCTCGAGACTGGTGATTTTTTTACCTCGGACCTTGCTCTCCAAAATGACTCAGAGAGAATAATCCATTGGATTCGCATCTGGTGAAATCGAGAGCCATTGTGTGGTCGTAATGAAGTTCGGAACGCTGTTTTTCAGCCATTCTTGGTTCACTCGCGCTTTGTGACACGGTGCTGAGTCTTCTTGAAACGTCCATGCTGAAAATGTTTGTTTGCCTACGGCGTCAAAGCAGCCCSCAGAACACTTTCCCGATAATATGTCGCATTTACTTCGACGCCAGGCTCCATGAAAACAATTGCAGAGCACCCATCTGCGGTGACAGGGGCCCAAACCATTATTTGTGGCGGGTGCTTCCTCCTGGAGGCCAACCGATTACTTAGATTCTCGTATGAACGTTCGGTCAAGTCAACCATATGGTTTTGTGAGCTTACGAATTGCTCAATTGGAAAAAAATTTTCGTCAGAAAACACACTGYCCGGAATTTGACCGCTTTCTCAAGTCCTACTTGTTGCTGCTTCGGTGTGAGATCATGGGCCTTTTGGAACTTGTAGGGCTTGACCTTGAKCTCATTACTCAAATGTTGTTGATTACTCTGAATAACGGGACACTTTACACTAAAACCAAGCATTTACCAAACTTGTACCATTTCAKACCCAATTCGGACATTTTTACAAAAAAATCGTTAAAGTATGACCGATAGCAATTCGGTTCGATTATGCARCCTCCACTCCCGCGTCCCTCTTCTTATGTATGCAAATGGAATTCARTGACAATTCGTTCGAGCCAAACGAAGCACCCACGGGTATCACAAGCCTCTTCTTGAGAAGTGGAAAAGGACACAATGCCGCTCAATTTCGTTCCTTTATCTAGGTATTTTATACACAATTGTCCATTGCGCTTTGTTATGGCGCATTGAATGTGAACCAATTGAATGTCAACCTTAAAGCAAGCCTGACTGCTGACTTGTTCGTCAAAAGCAAAATCGTTGAGCGGTCCGCAGCCCTGAACAAAGGCATCAACCTTTACAGAGTGGCCAAAAGGCAGAGCGGGTTAACGTTGCAGTAGGTAAAAATAAGAAAATAACCGAAATCAAAAGGCAGTAAATAAGCGCAACGGCACATTTTCGTGGGATGCTTTCCTTTCCGGTTCTTTGTCTGTTTCAATCTCCTTGGGAAACTTCTTGTTTACATTTATCAATGCAAATGAGTAAAAAGGAAAAGTATTAAATGAATAAATAATTTAAATACGAGATTATAGGGAATAATACCGCTTGCAATGCAAAAATGACTGCGAGTGGAAATGTGAAATGCTCCGCCAATGGCAACTCTGGGTTGTTTGCGGGTCACCAGTAAGTGCTTGATGCAAACAATCGGTTGCGGGAGACCCAGATACGGAGCATGAATCTATAATATGGATGTATATATGAACAGAAGTAAACATAAATGGACATTCGGGAACAAGAAAGAACTGAATCCAGGTATGGCATGGGTTAAATGCATATTTTCCGTGAAATAAGTTGATTTAATAAATACGTTTCATTTTTGGCGTAATAKAATGTTTTATGGCTTAATATTAGACTTTATGTATAATCTATCAGCTTTTCCACTCTTTACCAACTGATCAAATTAAACTACTTTTTATATTGGCCGCTGTTTGTTCAAGATCGAATTATTGAACGGCGWGTTGGTTCCAAATTTTGTGTTTCCAATGCTACGCAATCGTTAAAATGTTGGAAAAGTGTTTGGGGGAAACTTCGATTCACGCCATGCCCCTCTAGTAATCACGATGAAATCAAAAAAAATTAAAGAAACAGTGTTTGGAAGTCATCATCATCCATCAARGATTTTTCAAATGATCTCAGCATGTCCATTGGATCGACTCAACACTTGTTGGTTAATTTTATGGGTATGAAGCGTGTCATTGCTAGAATCAAATCACCGAAATCATTATTGATGACGAGACGTGGGCTTATGAATATGACGTCGGGACTTTTCAACAATCTAGCGAATGGGGAGGCTATATGAAGTGTGAATTATGCGCTTATAAAGATTGGTTCCCAAAAAAAGAGAATATGTATGGTTTTTAATAGTCCGAGACAAACCTTACGATATGGTATACCAAGAATTTTATGTATTCTAAAATATTGTTCAGTGGTATAATGTGTAGTTATAGATGATCTTCCTGGTAAATCTACTAGAATTTATTATTATTTAATGCCAATTAGAGGCAGAGCTGATTTAAAATATTATAACACTTGACAAATAACACTAAAAACGTATTTCATATTTTTTAAATTTCTTATTTTACAATTAACAGGAAGTCCTTTTCTTAATTATATGAGCGAGAAAATCTTTTAATCGATCGGCATATAATCGTCAATAATATGTACCTGTTCGCTTTTCCGCTTCATTTATGGGAATATTCTCCAAAACAATCGGCTCCGATCGACCTTTCTGATTGGCGCTATAAACGACTAAATGCAGTGCTGGATTTGGATCCGGGTAGTAGTCCATTGAGGCCAAGTCTAAAGCAAATAAAAGTAGATTAAATCAATGAAAATACCAAATCTGCTTATAATAAATTGGGGTTTAAGTTGTGAAGAACTATAATACAGAAACTGTGAAAAATTAAAATTTCAAATGTTTACAACATTTTATCATTTACCAACAGCAAATCTTATACCACAATCAAAAATATGGACAGCTTTCAAATATATTTAATACATATTTCTTCAATAAACCAATAATTCAAATATTATAATTTACATTTGAAAATTAAACGAGAGACTCAACAATTTTCTCTGTTAATAAACCGTCTCAGGAACCAAATCACATGATCACMTAATTAGCTGCTGAAGCTTTCACACACCCATTTCAGCAAGGAGAACTACGGGCTTCCAACCACGTCCCCAACTAGCGAGCATTCCCAAAAAGTTGGCATCAACTTGCCACCAAGTCATTAGTGAATACTTGCCACAACAGCCACTTCAGAAGCCAACACGCACACCCAAATAAACTTGCATTTGTTTCTGCGCAACGGTAAAAGCAACTGTACGCAAATGTTGTCTGGCAACTTTGGTTGCTATTAGTAGTTGTTGATGTAAAAAGTAAATTAAATAAAGTTTTTTGCAGCTCCGTAGCCACTGCTGCAAAAGACAACATCTAACGAGGCGCATCAACAGTAACAAGACACAGGACACAAGACACCGAGTACTGACTGTTGGAGTAGAAGCCACCGAAATCATCGAGTAGTCTCGTGGAATAACAACTGTGGCAGCCATACATCAACCACCTACAACGATTTTCAAAAGCGACTTTGATCTTTTCACTCTATTTACAAAACCATCAAACGGTTAGTGGGTGCAACAAGATATTTGCACAGCAGTCGCTGGCTGTAGGCGGACGAAGAGTGCAGCTGGTGGGTGAGAAGTGAAGCCTTGCGGAGGGGAGTGTGTGGAGGAGTGAAGTTGGTTGCGCTGCGCTGATATTGGCAGCTTACCGCGCTTGTCTAACTAATCGTGACTTTCCGCTTCGTTAGATTTTGCAAATAAACCTGAGGCAATGCCTGCGAGAAAACTTGCATGCATTGGCCCGGTTGAGCAAATAAGGGGGAAGACGGACGTGTAAAATGATGTAAGAGGGCTTTCAGCTAGCTGTTGGAAGCTAACAACCAGCGGCGAAAGCCAATAAACGCCAATAGATTTCAGCCAAAAATTGCGCCGCACTCTTTATCGATACGTCTRTTTGCAAAGTTGGTGAGAGCTTGATGGAGAGTGCGGTTCAGCGTGCCTGTTTTTGTGCGGCAAGTAATAAAATTTATTACTCTGAAAATGGAAAAAGTCAACAGCGAAAAGTAAATAAGCGCCGGATAGGCGAAAAGTTTGGCTCATTAACTCGCAGCGGTGTAGAAAAATCTAAGACACCCTAAACGATTTGGGAAACTTTGACGATTGCGTTTTTGTCGCGCACACACTATTAGCTTCAGAAAGGAAAATAAGCCTAATGCGTTGGAGAACACCTAATAATAATAAATTATAACACTCTCAACTCGTTCGGTTCAACATCAAGCTGACACCCTTCAACGCATAGACGCTGGAAGCGGTAAAAAAAAAAGTGCAGAGGTGTAACACACATTAATCACTTCTTTAGCAGAGCCATTAGGAACACAATTATCTGCGGTAAAATATAGATCTTCCTCATGCCTAGCGATTAATATTAASATGAAAAGGAATGGTTAGAGGGTAAATAAATACCACAACATTGTCGGTCCTCTAAGAAGAAAATCTTGAGAATTCACAATTGGCTAGATAGCTAATACTAGATGTGTATAAGAGACAGAATAAATACCACAACATTGTCGGTCCTCTAAGAAGAAAATCTTGAGAATTCACAATTGGCTAGATAGCTAATACCACACCGATTACTCACCACTTAAGTCGATACGGAATATTGGTATATCGGCATAGGTGCTTGAAGTGTTCAGGCGCAGCTTCTTCGTTTTGGAGTCGTACGCTTCGAGAAAGAATTGCTGYTGCAGACCTCCATCGTAACCGGGCATACATTCCAATTCCATTGTCGAATAGATAATGTTATCGTAGTTCTCCAGGTTGATGGTACCACCGCCACCACCACCGTCACCGTACCCAAGTCCATCCAGACCAAGGCCATGTCCATTGTCATTGCTGCCAACCAGGCTGTGAGTGGCAATGCCATTGCTGAAACTATACTCCATACGTGAGTATTCGAAGTGCGGCGCATCCGCCGCGTGWGCTGGTRAATGTATATCACTTTGCAGAGCACTCGTCGTGGGCGGCGATAGCTCTTCATCCAGCTCAACGATGCCATTTAAATCTGCGTCATCAATGTCATTGCCTTCATCCGCATCGGCACCTACCAATTCGGCCTCCATATCGGCGTCAGCATCCACTTCGTCAACCGCCATGTCAATCTCGCCCATGTCATCGTCATAAGCAAATTTGTTTGCAAAAATCTCTGATGCCCGGACGCTTTCATCCGAGCTCGAGGCGAGATCATTAATTGCGCGTTGCATGCCAATAACATCGATGTTGCGATTATCGTTTGCAATGCTTTGTTGTTGCTGGTGAAAGGCGGTGGCATGATTGCTTATTTCGGGCGCGCTGGGCGGCGCGTTGCGACTGTTGGCTTTGTTGMTTTGCGCGCTCGCTTTGCCGTTATCACTGCTCGAAAAGTTGCTAATGTGATGRCCGGCTTTGTTGTGTTGCAAAAAGTGACGGTCGTTGGCGGCAGCCCCACTRCCCGCCTCACCGCCAACATCCGAGACGACGGAACCAACGTTTTTGGCTGTCAAAGATTTGCGTATGCGCACCTTATCTAATGAGTTTGCAGCGATCGCAGCGGATTCATTAGCGGCAGTGCCGCCGTCAATGTGCTGTTGCCGATTTAGCGCTGAGTTAATGGAATTGTCGACTGGCAAGTGAAAGGTGCTGCTGCTGCTGCTGCTGCTGCCTTTGTGTGTAGTCGCAGCTGTACCAGTAGCTATTGCGGCAGCTAAGTCCCCACTTGTCTTGTCCACGTATGTTGGATGTTGCGTTAATTCGCTGGGCTTTGCAGATGCGATTTCTCTTTTTGCTAGTCGCTGGGTTCGTGCCTTTRCCCGGGTTGCTTCCTTTTCCGCTTCCTTTGACGTATCTGTTGCAGTGGCAGTTGCTGCTGCTGCTGCTGCTGTCGTTGTTGCTGACCTTAAATGATGGATTACTTCGCTCATCTCTTGTGAGATCTCACGTTTATGCGTGTTTTTTCGCCGCCAATTGTAGTATTTTGTTACAGGCGTTTGTTTACTGCTGCTGTTCGTCGGTGCATTGCTGCCGTTGTTGATGGCAGCTGCCGCGCCAGCAGCAACTCTTGGCAATGATAAATTTGATTTTTGCCTTTTGCTCGCATTTATCTTCTTCTGCGTCTGCTTTGAAGTTCGCTTTCTCGATTGCTGCTGCCGCAGCTCCTTTGTTGCCCGCGCCAGCTTGTATGCCTTCTTCTTTAGCTTGTACTTAGAAGCCTCGTTGTTTTTGTATTGTGTGAGTGTTGCCGTTGCAGTTGTTGCATGCTCGTCAGCGGCACGTTTCAACCGATGTTTGTTGTCCGTTCGTGTCTTCATGGGCAATCCATCAGTTTTGTTATTGATATACACCATTGTTGCCAGGTTGCCTGCTGCGGCRTTGGCGCCACCAGCTGCTGCCGCCATGCCTGTGTGTMGCGTTCCGGTGCTCTCATCAGTCGTGGAGCTGCGCGTTGCASTTGATAACGGCTTTTTGCCATAGCCAATTGCCTCGATAGTCSCGGCCTCGGCTTTGGCGCCGCTTCCTGTTTTCTTGTGCTGTTCGTGTTGCTGTTGTTGCTGCCGTTTGATGGCCGCCAGCGTTTGAGATGGTGTGAAAGATGTTCGTTTCTTCAGGTGTTGTAATTGCTGTTGTTGCTGTTGTTCGCTGGGTTGCAGCCGCCGTGTCGGTTGGTATTGCAATTTCTTTTGCTTTTGCTCCGCAAATGAGGTTGCAGCTTTTTTCCTCTTCTCCTGCGGCTGGTTATTAACAACATTGTTGATTTTATTATTGCCTTTGCTGCTGCTGCTGATTGCCTTGCTGTTGCCATTTCCATTGTGAATTTTATTACCATTGTTGCTGGCGCTGTTGTTATTGTTGCCATTGTTAATATGTCGCTCACGTACATACTCCGTATGTGGAAAATTTGATTCCTGTCGTCCGTGTTGTSCTGGCATCATCTGATTGCTATGCATTGTTGTCTGGTTCGATGAATTTAGCGAGGCAGAGGTCACCACATATGGACGCAAAGTACAGTTACGCAATGCTCCTGGCTTGGCTGCGCCCATACACACAATTGCATAGACGAATCAATGAAAATAGATGGAAAACAGATTATATTTTTTTGCGAAATAAATTCATCGAGCMTCGAGCTATATTAATATTTGTATTAGAATCTACTTGTATCTATTTAGTATGTGTGCTCGGMCTTTTACGAYAAAATATGATCTGAATAATATAYAATATATATATTAATAGATGCTAAAATAGGTGTGAGGTTTGTCTAGGTTAAACAGTAAGTCCGAGGCGTTTAAGACCTTAAACAGCTGAGTAGTTTGAGAAGGCAAGCTTGGTCTTTATTGGTGTCGTAAGTCAGCTAACTTTATTGATTCTTAGAAACTCAATTCTCAGTTTTTTCCTTAGTCCAAGTTCTAAGTTAAGGCTTTAACTAARCACACATTTCTTTCACTTTAAACGGTCTTGTAAGGAAACTTGATGAAAAAGAGCCTCTTACCCGAGGAAACCGATGCAACGCCTTAATATCTTAAGTCTGAACAGAGAGAGAACTCGAATGGAAACTGATTTTAAACTCAAAATAATTGCTATATTCTGAAAAAATCTTATTTACACAGATTTTCAAATAAAACGTGTGTCGAAATAAATAATATTATGTACATATGTATATATATTTACGTTATTGCACAAATGTTATATAAATGTGGAGAGCGTTGAGTTGTTGGTATGTCTCGGCTTCTAATGTAACAATATACGCACTGTATGTATATATGTATTGACTCACCTGCTGGCACGACTTGGAATAGACAAGGCTCCGTTTGTTTGCCAATTGCATTTTGACCCCAGCATGCCAAAGTTCCATAGTCCCGTTCGCCCTTCGGCGTGTATATCAATTCGCTTACAGTTTCTACTGTAAGACAAGAGAAAACATTCAATTTTTAAGGATGGCAAATATAATATAGGTACACACATACAAACATATATGTGAATATTCATAATTGTGTAAGACTGAGAATCTACTTTGTTGTGCAAAGCCATGGAGGAGGTATTTCTAGTTTATAGTGAAATTTCGAAATCAATTTAATTCTTATCAGTCAGTTGACTGTCATGTTGAGGCATGCTTATTTCAGATAAGAGATTGTATATGAGAAATCGCAACAAAAAATACGCTSAAAGCGTTGTCGGTGAATTGTTAGTGAATTTACGTAACTAAGTGCTTACAAAACTTCCGATATAAATAAACAAATGCTTTTCGTTGAAGAAAACCCTACTGGAAAACAAAACTCATAATTTCAATTAAACACAACGTATACTGGAATTAATTAAACTTTAGGTCGGAGGCAAACATGAAGGCATGTCACTGTGTGTGTGCAGATAAATGCACATGTGCATATATTTACATGGAAAAATGTGTGCTGCTTTTGTGTATTTTTTCAATTAAAACAACGTAGTCTYCCGCATTGAAATTGTAAGAAATATTTGCTACATTACCGTAAGTTTCGAAATGTGTATCATTTGTTTCGATTATTGTTCGGTGCACATCGCCGGTTGTTGTAGCCTCTTGTATGGTTGCATAATGGCCCGATGGTACTTCAAAGTGCTCGCCGCTTGTCGAAAAAGTCCACTCGAAATCAATTTCCGGCGGATCGGAGTTAACGCGGCAAGGTATCGGCACCGCCTCCTCAAGTGAGGYGCCAATAACAATCATTGTGTTTGTGCTGCAAACTGGGGCATCTGAAGGCAACGAAAGGAAGAATGTTCGCATTAAAATAATTATCTATTTTGGTATCTAGAGGGGAAAAATGTTTAAATACTAAGTAATTAAAAGTAAAAATGATGAAAAATTAGGGATTCGAAAATATTGTGGCGAAAAATGCCATTAGGGGCTATATTCAGGTATATTTTTTCGAAAGGTTTGTTTAATAAATATGCAAATATATAAAATACACAGTTACAAAATTTTATGTACGATAATAATCGCCGCTTCATGTTAAAAATTTTGGATTCCCATGTTCCTGCAGCCAATTTACACTAAGTCCCTCGAAACATGGGGTTTGGCTGTGAGAAAGGTTTTTSCGCTTAAAATATTTCAAATTTAACAAACAAAAAAAATTAATATATTTTCCATTTATCTTTCATATGATTTCAGTAATTAGTAATTTGAATACGAGTATGTACTTGCGCCAGCGTCATTTTAAACTCAGCTATTATTTAAGCCTGRAAGAATACTGCTATTTTTCTAAACCGATTTCAACTGCTTCAGTTTGCAACAAAGAAAAACAMAACACGTTTTGTCTCACTCTCAAGCGATCATCTGCTAACCGTGCGATTCTGTACTGTGATACAGTATCAAGTCTCTAAATTTGACAGAGACAATTTTGCTATTCTGTAAGTGATAGTCACAAACTCTATTACATTTCATTACTCAGAGGTGTTTTTATACTTGAATGAAAATAAATATGTCGATAACAAATATTAAATTTTCTATAACATAGTAAAAAAACATAATTATCAAACAACTTAACAAACAACTTACACAATATAAAAAAAAACGACAATCGATTAATATCTATAGTGATCTCTATTCAGTATATTCAAAATGGCAGACAAGAGTTATTTTTGGTYTTGTGACTTGCTAACTACCAGGTCTCAAATTTGAGGCAATATTTGGAGACTAAAGCTAGAGACGGTTTWGTGAATAGTAACTAGTCACAAATTGAGATTTTACCACAAAATGTCTCAAATAGAGACTAGAGACTGGTTACAGAATCCCGCTATGAATTCGGTTTGTGGGCGCGTAGGTACTTACGTACATTCATTTTTGAAGTTAAGCAATGCAATGTTTAATRATGTATATGCAAGTCTGTATGTACATCTTTTTAAGTACCCTGTGACGTCTGCAAATTTCCATATTCAAATATGTTGTCACAATATCGCCGATAACACTTCACTCGAGCAAATATTTGCGCGCATAATTATTTGATATTAATATGTCAACGGTTTGTGCAAAAAGTGGAGCGAAAAACACAAATATTTGTTGTTGCAAATATCACACACTATTCATCAAAGTTGTTCCGGCGCTGTGGATAAATACGTTTACAGTTGTAAATTCAGTTGTAAGTGTTATTGTGGAAGCGTGTGTGCGTGTTTTTGTTATATGAGTGAGCCTTCTCCGGTGTGCACTCGTGCGCACGAAAGAAAGAATCAAGAAACAAATTTTCAACACAAACTCGTACCGTTATATCCCACAATAGCGACACACACACTAATGCACATGAGTTTTTGAATGTAAAATCATACATGCATACTGSTTGGTGTAGGTGTTTCGCCAGCCACGCTTATCCACAACCCACACGCGGGCACAAAAGCGCAGCTCCATGCTTGTACATATTTTTGCGCGTAGTTTCGCCTCAGAATTCGCTCGTCTATTAAATTCATGCGTTTCATTCCAAGCGATTGGGTTGGAAATTTTATTGCAACCGCTTGTTTGTAAACATAAATGTGTATGCAGCAACACATGCGCACATATGTATGTATCTCTACATAAGTATATGTACTTCAAGTTATCTAAAGTAATATATTTCTATAAATATTTCACACGAAAACTTATAAAYATGTACGTGCTTTTATTTGTTCAAAGTGTGCATTAACAAGAGGTAGCCATGTTGTTTGAACTGTGAAAGACAAGCAGCTTATGGCCATATTATGACCATGCCGTTGTATTGAAAAAACGAAGTGACGCCAAGCGGGGAAATATGAATTTGATTATCCATTTCGGGAACAGCTGTGTGCCACAATACATATGTACATATATWGARGAATCATAGACTCAAGGACATACCTCGTTTTGAGGAGAAATAAATGGGTTGTTATTTTGAATAATTTCATTATGTATTGCCATTATTATGGAACGTCCTCTATTTTTTATTTTTTATTTTTTTTTTTAATTTTTATCGGGTATGCTACTGATGATAAAATTATTTTCATCATGTAAAATATGTGAAATGCGTCTAAAAACGTATGCACATATAAATATACATATGTACATTAGAGCGGCTTGATTTACAGCGAGCCAAACAAATAGAAAAACTATTGATTACTTTTCAGAATCGGTTAGAGTATTCTGATATACATACATCTCTCAAAGAACCTTTAAAAACACAGGGTCGAATCTATAGACCCATAGTTTCTTAGCCAAAGTTGCTTAGAATGATTCCTAGATCATTTGCCGCAAACCGATTTTATCAAAAGAAAGCGACGAGCTGCATAAACATACATATATACAATATTTATATGTGCATATGTATACATAAAAGAAATATTTATATCGGAGATTGAAATTTATGCCCAAATATATCTGAAATAAGAAAAGTCATAGCCGATAGTTCTAGTTGCTAGAGTTTTTTTTTCCAAGTATTAAAATTTTCAAAATAATAATAATATAAGAAAATATTCAATTCCAATTTTGTCGCAATTCCGGATTTTCTCTTCCCCTTTAAGCATATTCTCCAACAAAGAGCTCCAAACTGACACTAAAAATTATGTATATGTCGGTAATATTAGAGTTAATCAATGCTTGCATGCTTGTAAAGTATGCCCATTGTACGCATATTCGTTTGTATGCCATGCGCCCACACTAGTCGCATTATTGAGGGCACTCAACATGTGTGCGTTTCATTAACACGCCGTTCATAACTGGTGCAAAATATGCTCCTGCCAATAATTGTGCACTGGGAGAAAAACTGCTTACATGGCTGGGCACACACACACACAACCGTTTGAGTGTAGTGGTGAGTATGTGTTTACAATCGGCGCGGCAGGGCGACGAATTGAATTAGAATGTATCGTCACATGCGCATTGTTTGTTTTCAATTACGCTAATTATGCAACAGCGTCAGTAATGAGAGCGTTTATTACCAACGGATGTGCGCAAGTGTGCGTGCGTACGCCGAGTTGGCTATTGAAAAGCACGGTCGTGCACTTATCTGCAACATCTGATGTGTTTATTACTTGTCTTTGACAAACAMCCATTCATGCAGTGCCTTAATTAGACTGCAAGGCACTTTAAGTAATTTATCGCACATTCRGGTTTGCTTTAAAAAAACTCACAAAAATTCYCTGAAAACCGAYGAAAGTGTTTAATTATTCCYCAAATTTGTATATTTCGCATGTTTGGCTACAAGTCGGACSGGGCGTATGAGCAACTTCTGTACCAAGGCAACAGCGGTTGGCCATGAGTGTGTGTGTAATGTTAACGAAAGCAGAGATTTTAAACGCAAACGTGTTGATATTTCTGCTCCACCCGCGTCACAGTGTTGCTTATTTGTTTGTACTAAACAAAATGGAATATTTATATGGCTGCCATCTTTCCCACGTGAAAACAAATGTTGTTCTATTTACTATAACCATATGCATATGCAAATATTGGCCGTATTTTAGGCGTTTCTACTAATTATGTTTTTAAATACAAGTATTAATTAATTCATTTGTCGTGAAAAATAGYAGTAAATTAAAGCCGAGCATTGCTGGTATTTTCTGTTCATTACCTTCATTGGGACAGTATGAATTAGCTTGCTATCCGAAGGTAATCAATTTGGGACTATACATTTTATGCAATTCACTTGTTTATATTTATTTTATCAAATTCATTATTCCACGTAAGTATGTATGAAATGTGAGTTGTATGTATCGAATATTCAATTCGAACAATTCTCGAATAATTTGTTTAATTATGCGATAATTCAGACAAATATTAAAATTTATGCTAACAGAGTTCCATAATCTGATGAACAATGGCAGTTGTAATATAATAATCATAATTAATGTAAAAYATTTATAAATTTATTTGTCATTTTTGAACCACGGGGAGAGAATTAGGCTGCTAGACACTTATTGGGTATTRTTATGCTTTCGCTGCGTATTGCCACAGAGAATAGTAGGTTTGTTCATCTAAAAATTGCTTGCATCATCTAAAAGTATTCGAGTTTGATATATAGTTTTACATAAACATATATATGATCAGAATTATTAAACAAATTGAAATACGAGCGACTGTCTGTTCGTCCCTCTGYCTTCCTGATAGTTCTAGCGATAACTGGGAAAATGAATAAATTCAGATAATAATTACGTCCTATACCCGTACAACGGTTACATTGTTAACTAACAGAAGTGCGACAATTCATTGAATAAATGCGCGAGAAGCCTCAATCTTCACAACCTAGATATAGCGAAATGCTTTATAGAAGCCGGTGTAAGAATGGGACAATGRTTGTGGCACTCTCTCTTTTAGGCGTAATCCTATTGCGGGAGATTGACCAACTTTGGTGTGTGAGGTCCCTAACGTACTTGTAGATTGTGAAAATGGTCGATACCGGTTGAGAACCAAACCTCATTTCCATATAACAAACTTTTCAGTTTTATCTGCTTATTTTTCATTACAGTATACAAATCAATTAACAAGTTGTCAGAATAAAACAAATAAAGCAAGTACTGCCCTCAAGGTATTCCATCTTACGCTAAACAAGTTTAGAAACAGCACTATAACTTAAAAACAAAAACTGCAGACACCAGATATGTGGATCATGGTACATAAGGCTAACTTTTACAAAACATATCGATTAATATGTGAGGTCAATCTGAGTCTGAAATTCGGGAAGAATACGAGTATAATTGTGGCGACAGCATGCCCTTGTGTTAGAAATATATAAAATGATAATACAACATACAAGGTACGTTCCAAAGTAAACAGGACTTTTTGAATCTAGCGCCCCCTGGTGGCGCTATCTATATATCGACTGATGCGCTACAATCTGGTATCTTTACTGATTATCCAGTGAGAATTTTATGATATTTCATTGATTGGAAGTGAAGTTATTGCGTTTTAAGTGTCAGTATGTTTGTATTATCGGTGCGAATATGAGCTTCGAACACAGAGCCAACATGAAATTTTTCTTTGAAATTGGTAAAACTTTTACCGAAACGTTCAAATTGATAACGCAAGTTTATGACGATGATTACCTATCCCATAGCAGAGTGCACGAGTAGTTTCAGCGTTTTCAAAATAGTCGCGAGGACATAAATGACGCTCAACATGTGGGAAAATCAAAATCCGTGATCACCGGAAATTCCATCGGAACTGTGCGTGAATTCATCAAAAATCAGCCGAAATCATCAGTAAAATTTATGGAAATAGAATTGAGCAACTTCAAAACATCGATTTATGGCATTTTGACCGAACATTTGGGCTTAGGAAAGGTGTGAGCACGGTTTGTTCCGCACAAATTGACTGCCGACCAAAGACTGCTCACTTGCAMCATTCGAAGGGCATCATTAAAGAGGTCAAGAAGGAAAAAACTTTCTTTAGATATTGTGACTGGTCCCGAAACGAAATGCCAGAGCGCTGAAGGGAAGGCACCGGACGAGTCGAAACCMAAAAAATGCGCATGRAGAAGTCAATGCTGATTTATTTTTATGATTCCAAGGGTATTGTCCACAAACACTTTGTTCCACCCGGCCAAAACGTTAATGCGGTATTCTACTATAACGCTTTCCTCTATTCTTTCTATTTTGARGYGAAGATGTAAGTTGGCGTTTAWTACACGGTAATGCGCCGTCTCATCSATCGACGCTTGTGACCGACCGCGTATTCACSTGATATGCCACCGTGCGACTTCTTCCTTTTCGGAAAAACACTCGCTCGACATGCCTTTGGACCAAGCAAAAAGCTGTATTGAAGCAGAAGGAGACTATTTTGAACAAAATAAATTGATTTTGCAATTTGTTCTGTTTTTTGGAGCCCACCTTGTGCTACGTATATGGACTCTCGGCAATGCTTAAAAGAATTTAGTTTTTCAAAATGGGAATATGTCACGGCAGAATGTATTCAAAATGCTTTCCAAAACTCTGTAAATTCTTAAAAAAAAGACGGCATAAATATTTTAGAAGCAATCAAGCTTTTGCAGCAGTTTAAATTAATAATTCAAATAAGTATATATTCGAAAGCGCTCGTAAATTAGCTRTACATCCGCCAAAGCTATAAATGAATTGCGTTAAATATATTTTACAAATTTTACTTCATTTCGTTTACTGAACTGCAAATTTCCGGCGCATGTGTGCTGAATAAAATTTCCATAGSCAGCCATGTGGTTGAATTTTAAGAGGCAAATAGAGAGCAATGGACTAACGTTGTAATTTTACACAACTCAATGACCAGACAGAATGGCACATTACGATTATTGCCACAATCGCTTYGCATGGTACCAAAATTGTTAACGAGCTTGGGTGAATTCTAATGTTACCAACACATGCAACATTGCAAGTGTCGTTTTCAGATATAACGCTATAAAATTGCTTCAAGGCCCTTAACTTATCTTTTAAAAATGAATGATTCTCATTTAATATTTCCAAATTAGAACTGTAGAAAACTCTGATTTCACTATCAGAATATGAAGATGTCCAACGAAATTTTGTTTACATACTCAAGCTGAAATATTCCCAATTCTCACAACATTGCCCACCATGGCTCATATATTGCTTTTAATTGAGTGTTAGTGAATGCCATTGACCTCTGCCGCACGCGTTCGACCCCAGCCAGAACWGCGGCCAAAGCGGCACATAACCGTATATTTATGAGCAGACAATTGTTGCTGGAGAATAATTTATTGTCATTGCCATTCATTCGAGCGAGCGCGGCGTCTAAATGCCTGTAATAGTCCTTCGGAAATGCAATCGAATGTGTCACCACTCCGGACGCATTTGCGTTACGCGTGACAGCGTGCTTTGCATTTCTAGTGACATCGCGCAATTGCATGCAAATGCAGCTTTGGGGGTCACGCGTACTCTTTCACTAATTTGATGTCGAATTCGCATTAGTTGCCCCCGAGCGGATTAAATTATTCATAAAACGTAAAATGTGTTTGAGAGAAAATAGTTGATTTTACTGTGATAATAAWCGGAAAGCACTTACAGCGTATACGCAAATTCACCAGCGAGCTCTGCGTCTCGCCGCGGTCGTTGGCCGCCGCACAAGCGTAGAAGCCGGCGTGGACGCGTGCAACGCGCTGCAATACCAGCGAACGTGTGGATATAATGATGCCCCACGATACGTTCTGGGTGACCGGGATGCCCTGAAAGAAGACGATAAAATAGAATWATATTAAAATTTTGTAAAATTATTATGGCTCGACATTTAAATTAGCGTTTTCAGATTTAACGTAATTATCGCAAGGGRAAAAGGTTGCACACTTTAAGCATTATGCTTTCTGAAAAGTGAAAACCTTTCTGGGTTTTCAACCAACATAAATATCTGAACAAATTACTGGAGTATTTGGAGCGGACAGGTATGGAAAATTAGCTTAGAAAGGAAATATTTTGCGTGYTTACCAAAAAATATTTGCAAAACAGTGTGCATAATGACAAAAAGGTACCTGGAAATTATAAGTAAAACACAAAATATTTAATGATCTATCAATAATTATTTTGTCGCCTTCAAAGTCAATCCCACCAGATGTAAAACACTTATGCCAACGATTTCTGTCGTCCTCGAAGCACTCTCATAGGCACTTTCTGAGATGGTATTCAACTCCTTCAACAAACTTTGTTTTATCTCTTCGAAAATAGGATGAAAACGGATTCCACGTAGTGACTATTTTAGTTTGGTGAACAAGAAAAAATCACACGGATCACACGTTTGGTGAAAACGGTGGTTGATCGATGGTATTCATTGCGTTTTCTCCTTAAATTCGAGCACAATCGTACAATTTTTGGAGAAATCATTCAATTCAGCTTTATCGGGTCGAGAGATGTCGAGCGCTCTTGTCATCTCTCTAACACTTGTTTGACGATTTTCCAGCACCACACACTTCACTTTTCTGTTGGAGAGGACGATCTTTAAACTGCTGCAATCAAACTGGTGGACAGATTGCGCTCATATTTGGCATAGTAATTAAAGACAGTGCAACCAACTTGTTTACCTGGCGAATTAAATTGCRATTTCCGGGTGCTTTTTTGTCCCAATGTATAATAAATACTCGTTAAAAGCRAATTTCTGCACGAAAGTGTTACACTTTATCTCTCGTGTTAAAGATATTCGGAATTTATATTTTGAAATATATATTCTCAAAGAGGAAACTATGCCGTGCTGTAAAGTGAACGCGTGTGGATATAACGGTATTTATGCTTGCGTTATGTAATTTTCGTTTAGCTGCCTCATCCCAATGGCTCCAAAATGGAGCATTCACACTTTGTAAATAAAGACCGAACGGAAAAAATAAAGCAATAAAACAAAAATAACAAAAACAGCGAAAAAACAGTAATGCCAATATTTATGGCAGGAGAAAAATATAGAAGTATACCATTTGCACCCACAACACCAAAAATGTGTGACTCGTACGCAACAATGCTCTCATTTCCAACATATTTTATATTAATCTATAGATAGTTGGTATGACTGCTCCCCTCATTTGTGGTACGAGCCCTATATTTTTTTGACCAAACTTTGGATTCTTCTGCAGACTTGGTTTCAGAACGGGTTCTAAATAGTGGTCCCAACATTGGTGAAAGAGGACAAGACATGTTCGAGCAAATTTCGATCAGCGCTTGYGGCATAACGGTCAGTATTTCGAAAAGCCCAAGCGGCTACTTTTTAAGTTGCTCGTTAATAAAACTTCCGAGACTCTCCTTACCGTTCTATGACTTACTGGGAGTTCTACAGCCGGAGCAGAGTAAAAGCCTGTCTCTTATACACATCTAGATGTGTATAAGAGACAGAACTCTCCTTACCGTTCTATGACTTACTGGGAGTTCTACAGCTGGAGCAGAGTAAAAGCTATGAGGAGCTGGCGTGTGTGCGTTCGTACACAACGTTGTGGCAGCACTGTTTGGTTATTGTTATGTTTTATCACTCTTTCTTTTCTAGCAGTTGTTATTGCTTGCCATTTGGTCGGTATGGTTTGTGCAAATAATTTTTGCATGCGAACAACACCGCAAATAAAAGAGTAAATAAATGCATAAATACACGAACTCAAATGTATGCACATAAATATGCATGAAACAACACTAACATGCTCACATGAGCGCACATATGCGTGTGTGTGTGTGTGTGTGTGTGTGTGGGAGTAAAATAAATAAACTTGTAGGTGCAGGAAAATATTGAAGCAACAAAGAAATGTGAGATGTGAAAACATTTTCAAAAATAAAAACAAAAAAACATAAAGATGAGTAATCGTACATKCCCATACAAACCMTTTTAACACGCTTACTTGCAGGCATGTGTGAGTGAGTGTGTACAAGCAAGCACTCAAATGGATACGCATAACCAGCGGCCACTGGATGTGCGCGGGAGTGTGCGCCCTGGCTGGCAGCACTGGCAAACGACTCGAGTGGCATACGTGCACATCCGCTACTATCTTGCCACAGTCAGCTGCTCACACACATACGCACACATACACACGTGTGCGCGGTGTCTGCGCCGGTGTGGAGCGTATGGCCCGGTCCGCGTTGCCTTCTTTCATGAAAATGCACTGGAAATTTGTCATAAAATGAATAATAACTGCATTTATATGAGCTGTTTTACCCGCAAGCAAAATGTGAGTAGTTATTTTACGACAAAAACAAATAGGAAACAGCCACGCTCGAAATGTGAGCAGCTTACTCAGCTCGGTGGGTGTCGGTTAAATTGCATGCACCGCAGTATTTGCGCCTTTTTATTATAATGCTTTTTTCTATTTCTTTGCGGTTTCATTGCTGCGCATGTGGGACCTGCAATGATTTGCGATTGTGTGTCACAATCCATGTATGAGGCACACATACGCACATATGTATGTGTGTGTGCATGCCTGCATATCCATAATTTTCTTCGCCCTTTTGTATGCTTTTAATGCCCGTACGCTGGTGCAAAAGCAATTTCGTTGCGGAAAATTTCGTGATTTTGAGTTATTTCGGCAATGTATATTTATAAAGTGTAAGTGCTTTAAAASCTTTTTATCACTGAGTGGCTTACCATGCCCAAGGTGATTTATTGCTTATTGAGTTTCAAGAAACAGTTGTATAGATTAATAAATGTTGTGCTTTGCTACKAAACCATGCAACAAAATTGTATAAGTAACTGAGAAATGGAATCAAATCATTCGCTTTGCGGGTTTTTAAGAGTTAACATTATTTTAGAACTTTTGCACCGGTGTTTACTATAAATCACAGTCAAAAAACAAAAAAAAAAAAAACTTTTTCTCATATCTCAATAGGTGCGAACTTTAAAAATAATATATTGTAATTCTAAATCAATATTTCGAATTGTTTTTGAGTTACGACCATTTCAAGAGTAACCTCTCAGTTTAATCAACTCTATCAGCTTATTTTTAAGGGATCTTTGGTATACAATTTTTAAAGACTTGGACGAACGATTTTTTTTACAACTGTTTGAAAACAAAATTCTAAAAATTTCAGAATTTCTTGGTTAATAATGAATGTCTGTAACAATACAAAACTCTAACAAAATATCTAATTTTTTATATGTGAAAAAAATTGTTGAAGAAAGGCTGTTTTTTACCCAAGGAAACCCATGCAAGCCCTTAAACGAATCTCTGCTGGAAGACTTTGTTTTCCAACGCTCGCATACAACTCGAAACATCTAATAGTTTTCTCTTTCAAATTTCACTTGTGTTCTTAAAATAAAAGATGTAGAAATATATATACTATATAATATTTATTAAAAATACACACTTTCGCGCAGTAGTCTACACTGTACTCTAGCCTTTGAAGTATACGACTAATGGAATGCCCATTTATCTCTAACAATAAAATTTGTCGAAGTTTTTGGGAAAAATAATAAGAAAAGTGCAAACAATGAGGGATATATATTCAGGTTCAAATGACATATTATATTATACCTTGTTTGAATAAAGCAAATATCATTGCATTAATAAGAATTTCACTCACATCATGTGACCATGTGATGCGATGCTCCTTCGGATTAGCTTTTATGTGGCACTCGAAGTAAACATCGTCACCTTCCTTAATTTCGTCCGGTTTGAGTGTCGAACCCAGCGATAATGTCACTTGTGGTGGATCTGTTGGGTGCACATATGCGATAGCAGAAATGTGGAGTTTAGGTATCGTGTTGGTTGATGGAAATCCCGCGGTGGTATGTTATTCCAGAAGAAGCGGATAATTGTAAAAGAATAAGAAKAATGATTTGTTCATAGAATAATATCTTCCAAGTATTGCGGTTTTCAGCAAATATGGACGTTTATTAATTATTGTAATCAAAAGGTTATAAACTTTAATACACAAGAACACAGGATAAAGAAAATAGAGAACGAAATATGTAAAAAATATTGATATAGAAACTCTATTAGACATATGTGTTAACTTTGTTGCTGTTTTTCTTATTATTTATGCAACTATTCATTCCTATAATTAAAATTTTGCAGACCACATATGAGGCGCTTACATGTAGAAGAAATGTTTGAAATTTTTAATTAGCTAAATGACAAGAAGAATTACTTTCAGCTTGCATGCTGGGCTCTGCGTTGCCAACTTAAAAATGTTGGGTTTGTTTTTGGCTATTTTTGAGAGTAACTGCTTTTCGCCTTTTTACCAGTTTCGGTTGAGACTGTCGGGCAACTTTTTGCTGTCACAAACTTTTGCTGCAGCACGAAGTTTTCTGCAGTTCCACAATGGCTCTTTTAGCTTTTTTACGTTTTTTGGTGTTTGTGCGAACGGATTATAGTCGCATTTAAAAGTTAAAGTTTTAGTTTCAATACAAATAGTGCAAAGTCAGCCGAGCGACATTTCTGAATTTAATTATGTCTATGATTGCTATTGCTGCACTAAGTAATTATGCTCGTAATATTAAATAAATGCAACTGAATTAAATGCTATCTTATTGGAAGCGACTAACTGAGAGGGCGAGGCCAACTGTCCAACTGTCTTATTACAGGTGATAAATAATACCTGAAAATGTGCTTCTGATATTTAACTCAACTTAATCATGAGTATTTGCACATTGAAAATAAAATTCTGTCTACAAAAGAATCATCCATCCTGAGACTAAGCAATCATTATTGAATTATATTCGACCGTATCACGAATCAAGATCACGTCCGGCACGCCGCGAAGATATTGCAGCCGTAGCTGCGAGTTGAGTCGGCGCCGTTCGCAGCAGCACGGACTGACATTTTACGTAGAGATCTTAAATTGAATATGTACGAAAAGGAAATAGAAGAGATTCATGCCTTTAAGTGATACCTTGAAATTGAAGCTCGTGTTATCGGCGACATTTGGTTTAAACAAGACGGCAACACTTCACATATCGCATTAATCAATGGATTTGTAGAGAAAACATTTCGATGTCGGATAATTTCTAGTGGGACCAGGCGATTGGATTTGAAAATTCTAAAGTCTATGCGAACAATCTTGYTTCGACTCAGGCCTAGGAACAAAATATCACACGTCTCATTCACCACTTATCAGTCGAAATGCTCTGAGACGTAGCCACTGCCAATATTCAAAAGAGATAATCTTCAGAAAATAATCGCCAAAGAATGACCTTTTGAATGATAATAAACATTCCTCAATAAATAGGAAGTTTCTGTGTTTTTTTTTTTTTTTCTTAAAAATATTATGTAGTCCGAAGGGGATAATCCTTAARGTTTTAGTGATATGACTAAATAATTAGTGCTATATTCCGACTATCGGCTTGATCTTCCTTTCATKAGAAGCCTTACTGAGGATTAATGTTTGTTGGGAAATTATTAACTCTCTACATAGAAAAAATTCCTTGACAAAAAGTTATGCAAAAATTTTCTATCTTTCAGTAGAAAAAAAAAGAAGCTTTTTACGAGCTGCGGCTTGCAAAGGGCCTTTAGAAGATATCCTTAAAAAAGTTTACCCAAATTTAAAAACAATTTCCTTATTACCTTTTCGCCATTTAGGTACTACTCACGACACACAAACATCCGAAAGTTTGGCTGTTTATTCGCCCCTCTGCGGTAACCAGGGCCAACGCGCTGATCAATTTATTTGAGTTGAAAAAGTTGTAGGAAGATTGCAAATATAAAATTATTTGCGGTTATGCATGCGAAATTATTTTTAGCGATGAAATATGAGCAGTCCGCTGGCTTATATCTTTACCACCTTATCGCAGGTTGTCAGATTGTTTTGGGTATTTGCGTTGTTTTGCGTAATTTTATTTGTAAACTTTTCAAATTTGGCACACATTTTACTATGTGCGTACTCAAAGTACTTGCAGATGCAATAAATAAAAGACACAAACCAGAAACTTTTTGGCAAATAATACACGGAGTGAATATTTATGTACATAATATATAAATAAGCTTGCTTTCAATTGAGGGCTCGTAAACTTGCCGGCAACAATGGTATCGTAAAATACACCAACGCTACGTTTTGGATGACTCACTTGAAGGTGTCATTACATGCCAAGGAGTACCAATAAAGATATTTGCCAAGTTTGAGGGATGGAAGTGGAAGTTTCAGTTTCGCTAGTGGAGTTGCCAATGAACTAAAGCAAATGTAAGGTGGATTCGGCTCTATTAGGCAACAGCTTAAGATTCTTAATTGTGAGAAGTTCAACTACTGAGAAAAAAATGGACCTCTTAAATATAAATAACTGAAAAACACATAAAACCGTTATTAGCGTGGGAGCGTTTGAACTCTCTCTTTATATTCAAACCAATTATTGTGTGTGTGTGTGTGTGGAAATGTATTTATTTAGCGCTTTTCCAACACAATAGTGCCTCTAACTCTGCCAGACAACCAAGCCATATCCAAGGCAACCTGACCGGCATGGTTGAACACACATACCCCTCGGCCCGCAACCAATGTAGAACCTCGTTTCGCACATTCGAATAAAAATCTGCATATTTTTGCGCTCCCCTGTTTGCTTATTATTTGTTGTCTGTTTGTCACACCGTACAATTCATTATTTACAACAGTTTTCAAAGAAATAAAACTTTCGTAGCTTTCATCATGGCATGTGCTCGCTGTGCTGAAAGCCATTGGCAATTCCACAGCATGAGCGCTGGCGGAATGACAAACGGTCGTGTGAGCGCCCGTCGCACAAGAACTTGCTCCTTACACCGAACGTGCCTGCCTTAGTATGTACATACATATGTTCCAGAGGGAGCGAAAGCGTTTGTGTACTTCGCCACCTCGTCGCCCACCCTCCTCCACAACTGCGCCGTGCTCGCGTGTTGTACTTGCTTTTACTGCTATGGTCATAAATTTTCTATTTAAGTCTGCATTTCAATAAATTTATGATTATGTTTAGAAAAACCTATACATTCATTAAATTACACACACACACATGCATATGTTTGTGTGCATGGAAATACAAGTGAATGTGTGAATATGTGTGGGAAACAATAAAACAAGCGCTGACAACTTTATTGAATATCATATGAATATATTCATAAACACACACACTGCGACACGAAAGTGTGTCTACGTATATAGGTGGGCGTGTGGGTGTGCGGGTGTGTGGACTCGACTTTCTAAATGTGGCGGGAGCGTTTTAGTTTTTTGCTACTTTTGGCATTGCAGCCGTTAGATTCTATCAAACTCGTCGGATTTTCAACCTTCGAAAGCCGGCGAGTTGGAGTTTTGACATGTTTGCGGCTTAGATAATCGAAAAGTGAAATTTACTGCGGCGTTATTGTGTCAGCAGCCGGCTGGGAAGGTGAATTGTTTGCACATTTTTACCGAAAGCATGGCGAAATTGCGCACAGCAAATAATTTAGATTTATTGTGAAACTTTTCCCATTTGTAAGCCTGAAAGAATTGTATTTGTGCGAAATCGATGTAAATGCAACGAAAACTTCGCACACGAGGAAGCTGCACTCTCTTATAAGACAATATATTTCTTATAATGAACTTGAATCAAAATGTTTCTATAATAATTATGTTATACTCATTGATGTACTTTTTTAGTGGAGGTCATGATGTCGCTTCTGATCAGCTGGTCTACAAATTAATTTATTTTGGCATCTTACACTACTTAAAAATGAAATTAAATCAGAATATCAGTTTTAGCAATTCTACTTACATATCACGTTCAGCAAAATGGAATCCTCCATTGCGGAGATTGGCAGCCGCGGATTGGAGCCTGCACACTTCAGCAATGTGCCGTCGTCTTCGGGTTGTGGATGGAAGGACAGCGTGGAGAAGACTCTGCCGTTGCTTTGTGTCGTTGTAAGCTAGCGACAAATATGAGAGTAATCGTTTAGTTATATATAATATAATTACTAGTTTGTCGTTTTCTGGGATCTATTATGGATTTCATCCCTGTGTGTTTCTCTTGTACCTCTAATAGATTTTTTTCATAATGGATAACGCATGGCATATTGAATTAGTTAAGCGATAATAACAATTTCGGGAATTGTATTGATTAAGTAGATCTGACTCTTGAGATCTATAGTATAGTATCTATTTATTCATACTAACTTATGAATTTAATCGAAAAGTGTACACTAGTTCCTTTACTTTCTACTTTGTGCTTACATGCACTTGATAYCAGACAGATACCGCTATATCTCAAGTTTAATTGGCTACACATTTTTATCTGATTACACCAATTTTAACTCTCAGAAATCCACTTCCTTCACAACTTACCGTTCCTCGCTTAAAAGGCCGGTTATTCTGCGTCCAGCGTATCTCTGTGTCCGGCACTGAACCGGCGACGACACAAGTCAAATTATATTGAGTGCCGGAAGAGAAAACTTTCAGCTTATTTGTGAGATTCACAGATGTTGGACTTACTGTAAAGGTAATTTTCTTGTTTAGATTCAATATTTCGATTGAATATAAGAGTGCATTAAAAGAAGCAAATAACTTTCAAAATATTTCAATAAAGGAATGAATTAAATATTTATCAATTTGTGGATTTTCTCACTCACATAGCATCTCGATACGTATGCTGCGCTCGATTGGCGGAACCAACTTCGTATTGTAAGCACGACATCGGTAGGTAGTGTTGAGAGCTGAACGTGGAATATTCAGCACCTCCAAACGATTTGTAGTCACATGGCGGCCCATCGAATCTCCATCGCCTACATTAAGCTTTTGCGTGCCATTGAACCAGTTGACTTTGGGATCTGGTCGACCTGAAATAACATATGAAAAGGTATGCTTAAACTACAACAATTCAATATCTTATGATATACTTTTACGTTTACAACAATACAATTCAACACAGAATCGGCGAAAAAACCCTTAACCCAGATACTTAGGCAATCGCAGTCGCAGTCTGCACGGCGCAATGACTACCACGTTTAGATTCTAATTTTCTGTCAAGTACTGAAGCTACTGCAAACTTTCAGCATGGTCGTAATAATAAAACGGATTGTAACCGAGATGTTCGACACAYATAACTGCACATGAGTTGCGTCCTCCTTTCGTTGCATCCATAAAAGCAGGCAAAGCTCCCATTTAAGTATGCGGCTGCAAGACGTTGGTGATTTCGTTTGCTACGGCTCACCTCGCTTCCTTGACATTCTTGAAAGCTGCATTTCAGCAATGTGTGTAAGTTGATAGCATTTTTCTCTGCTCCTTCTMCAGCAGTGGCAGAAGAAAAAGTAATGTTTCTGCGGTGTTCAATGCGCATGAAGCGAAGGCGGGCTGTTTGGGTCAGTGTAGGAAATGAAAACCACAGAATTATTATTATTTTAAGTAATGCAAAGCGCAGCGTTCCCAATGCACAAGCACGGGTCGCGCAAATGGCTCGCGCAACTGGCGTGAACTGCAGTGCTCTTCTGATAGCACGAAGAACTGCAATAATAGCGTTATATATAAGTATGTATGTGCTTTCGGTAGGAAGAATAAAACATTTTAACTGTTGATGACTGCCCATTTTGCAACTATGTTGGCGTATAATGTTCTTGCGGGTGACATTGCATTGCTCCGTAACCGCAAGATCGTCGCCACAAGCTTATTTGACGACGTTGCCAGCACTCTTGCCGTTTTGCATACCTGGTCTGTATCAGCTGTTTATGATATAGATGTAAAGACTTAACGTTTACTGCTCCTCAGAGTTCTAATGTGTGCCGTGATAATAACTAAAACTCAAGGGGGGAAGCCTATATTGCCTAAGGTAATATACTTTATATTTTGATCTTAATGCGACTTGAGTACACGACTCTCTTCTGACATAAGATAATGTGGGGATAACCACCATTAAATTTATCAACCCCGAAGCATGTCTTTTGCCTATTAGTTGACAGTCCTGCACCGAATGAGAAATCCGGGTCCGTTCCGGTTATGTAGACCCAACTGTCGTGGGAACGAATGTGACTAACCTTTTCGGAGCTCATAGAGTCGAACGGGAAAACTTCTATCAACATGTTTCGAGAACTTTATTTTATATCAAAAGCTTGTGAAAACTTAACTGAAAAAAGCTAATTTCGTCATGTAAGTCCTTGCGCCAGCTTTATAGGTTTTTATTTTAGCCCACGACTAAATGAAACAATGAGAATCTGTGACCGCATAGAGTCGTTAACTACCTGTAACTTGATACAACAGAACATGTGAGTATTTATATCAAATTGATAAAAATCCAGCCGTGTCAGCTATTCTTACTGAGAGAGTAATTCCTGGCTCAGTTAGAGCAAGGGAAGAGGGACAAGTGAACAAAGAAGAGAATCAGCTGACATTGAGCGACCACCGATCATTGTGAGTCGCTAAGTTATTACAAAATGTTTTCTCGAATATTAGACGTTGTAGAACGAGAAGATTTCTTCATATGTGACCTGGTCTCCGGAAAGGGGGATTAGGTGTCAAAAAATACAAAAAATCAATTTTCACTTTTTAGTTGATTCGCATGGAAGATGAGATTTTTAACAGCTGTTTCCCAGAAAACTAGTTTTCGCACGTTRGCTMYCTTTTCGTAGACCAGGTCACATATAATGAAAACTCTTCAAACCGTAGAATAATCCTTTGGAGTATATAACATAAAGTGTTTACAGTGTTTCCTTGTGTAATAGTGTTATATAATACTATAATAAAATTCCTACATTGCTTACGCTCTCAATCCTTGGTATTTTTTTTAATTCCAGCTTTAAAGCTTGTTGTGGTTAAATTAGCTKAGAACAACCGTAGTTGATGTTAGCGATGAAAGAACGAAAAAAGTGCAAATATTCGTAAGGTAGGTCACGGACTCAGTACTCAGTCAACCACAGACACAAATATGCGAATATTTTGAGTTTTAAATGAAAAATATAAAATATGTAAAATTATTTTCAGCGAAAAAATCGCACTGTAACTTGATATAACTTTTATTCTTTCACATAAATATCATTCGTTTGAGAATTGCAAGCTCTTGAACTCGGTTTTGATACGAAAATATTTATTTTGTGTTACCTGATATTGACGAAGTTGGAAGGATAGCATTTCTAAATTGGCACAGTTTCCCCAAATTTCTTTAATTTGCAACAATGTAAATGTCYCTTTAACTACCGAACCAGATGCAAGAGGTAATGGGCGGCGCCGGCAAACGCCTTGATTAACTTTTAATGTTTTGTGGCACTCAAGTTGGGTTGAAACAACACTGCTCCTATTGCCTGTGTTTATTTACRTACTCTCGTTTACAAAAAGATTCCACTACACACTCTTGGATACAAATGTTTGCACAAAAAGTGAGCAACGAGCTGTGCACAAGTAAATTGCTGAGTCTCAGTCTGACTGACTTACCGCCTGTTAAGCAAGCGAAGTGATTGTGTCAGAGGCGAAAGAGGGCTTAAGGCTGGCACCACCTCGCTTCACACCTTTCGCTGAGCATTGAAAATAGTAAATACTTCTTTTATATTTTATGTAGATTTTTCTTGTGCTCTCTATCCTGCCCTCCTGCTAACTCCCACTCTGCTGGTTGGTGAATTTTCCGAAAAGGATGTTGTACTGAAATTATAAGTCAAGCATAGGATCCGAACTTCCAAGACTGCATACTATTTTTTCGCATTTCGAAATATGCAAATATGCATGGGAAGCTCCAAAAATAACACAATAATAAAAATAACAGAATAAAACACGAGCACAAGGAAAATCGCAAACAAAATAACACCACACAAAGAGGCTTCGAATGAATTCGTTTAGAGGCAACAGTCGAAATTGTATATTCAGTCGAGTTGGTAGGCAAACAAACTTCGCACTTACAATGTAAATGAATACCGGAGAGGCATTTGCAAATAAAACAAGGACCAACCGAATTCAACACATACACTCATATATATATATATATATGCAAGAGAAATCAACTACAACAAAAAGAGGCACACATTAGTCAACTTGAAGTCGACAAGGAGAAAAAACATGCATAACAAAATCGCTTTACAACAACGACGGAGCGGAAAAGCAAACGGGAAACGAGCGACAATGCAACAAAAGGGCGAGCGAGCGAGCGAACGAACAAGCCAGCGAGTGCACTATCAAAGGAGCAGTCATTGAAGAAAAGGCTTTAAAGCCAGTGAATGTGTAAGATCCGAGTTGTATGAGCAACGTTAATACCGGAAACGAAATGCAAATTTTACCTAAGCGCACCCAAAAGGCAATCGAGTCAACGGAGTGGCTCGGCAGGTGTCAGGTGGATGGCACGAGTTTGCAGCTAGGCAACCGCAAAATTTAACAGTTTGCAACTCGGAATTTGCTCAAAGTTATTTTGAAGGAGTTGTTCTACAAGCTGCACCTTATTCCCTTTTGAATATTTATTCGAGGGTGCTTATAATGACCATTGGAACATTGGAGCAGTGCCAAGGATGCACAGTTATGTGGCAATTGAAAAACAACTGCAGGCGTTCAACTGGAAATTGGCTGTCTTATTGTGCGGCGTGAATGAGAAAAACTGGATACACAACTTGTAAAATAATAAATAATTTATATGATATTAAATATAATTGAGTAGATATTGGCCTGCGCGGCCACATCGCTATAATCAGCGAAAACATCCACGCACTGTTCAAGGCCTCCACTTGTATTGAAGCGGCAGCTGGCTAAATCGGACTAAAAGTCAATGAAGATAAATGGAAATATGATATCTACTTAACAGGACTCCGACCTCAGCGGTGATAACTGAACAGGTCTGAGTATCGAATATAGAATACAAGCCACTAATAGGTCATACGCATCCGTATGATACTGCTTAAAACAAAGCATTTAAAGTGGTCCTATACAAAATCAGAAAGACTAGCTTATAAATGGTGAAAGTATTGTTTGCTTTATCAAAGCGCAGCGACTAAGATGGCTCGCAGAAAACCATTGTAGAGGTCACAGCATTCATCACCGCGATCAAGATGGAACTCGTGGAAGTGGAGGACATGTAGAAGGCAAATGACCGAGATCAGGAAAAAGCCAATGTGGTTGATGATGGTTCATAATGTAGACTTAGCTTTATTCCTGAAGTTTGTTGAGGAAAGTTTTCCTAGTTGGTCTGAGAGTTTGCGTAAAGTTTTTATTTCAAGCATTTATTTCCAATAGCAGCGAATGCATTTTCATAAGTCAAAATAGTGTTCAATCCAATAATGTTTTTCCAGTTATTGGATAATCTCAAGTGCATGTCTCCAGAAAATGTTGGGCATTTATTACAACAAGACTAATTTTGAAGTCTTATTAAAGAAGTAAATTGTATCAAATGACRTTTATTGGAACTGAAGATTTTCCAGTGCGCGATATGTTCTTTCATGTGTTGAACATATAGAGAGCGACAGACTTCAAGCGACATCTGTCAAAAATTAAAATGCACACGTTTTATAGGCACAGTGATGTCATCGTGCTGCTTTTTACGAATGTTTCTGCCATTTTTATCAAAATTAATGTTTATGTTAGTCATTATAAATAGATTCTTGATCTATTAGAAACATCCTTCGTACATACAAAAACTATGGTATATTCCAGCGCACATTTATATAATATTATTTTTCCCACTAGTGTAGTGATTTTCAGAAACAGCTATGTAATCTTATTATTTGGTAAGTTATATAACTGAAATCCAATTTGAGTTATGTTCTTGTTGGTGGTAGTCTCAGTGGATCCTGTATACAAATGACATTTGTGTGTTAGACGAAAAGTGCTTGCATTCAAGAAAACTGGGGGGAGAACCAAAATTACGTCAGGCTTCGTC